TTAAGTTACCATTAACAGAACCCTTTACATTATTTTTTTCGTCAATTAAAATGTAGGCATTTTTTGTTTTTATCTACATATATTATTTTGTATATAAATAACTTCATCTGTAACAAAAAATGTAGAGTAACACTACACTGCTACTCACCATGTTTACAGATGGGTCCTTAGGATTTGTCTTTTTAGAAGAACGACTAGAACCCCCCCCCCCCAAAAAAAAATCACTTACATCAATAAATATCAACATTTTCATTTTTTGGAAGCAAAATTTCTCCATGTATCGGAGTAAGAACTTATCTATTAGTAATTTTATGCAAATGTTTTGAATTAAATTGTAACCCCCATGCTCCAAATTTTAATGATCCAACTGAATTTTGCACTGCTGATATTACTGTAAACCAACTTTTATTCAAGTGCGAGAAATTTTTGCGATGTTCGCGAGAGCCTCGTCATCGCGAATATTCTCACCGCGAACGCGTTTTTAAAGTCTCTTTTTCTACTAAAACAGTTCCAAAAAGGCTTGATCGCGAATTTAATAAATCGTTGCGACCTAGTTTACTCTCGGTAAATACCCGCACCTCAGATCTCCACATTTTTTCCTTATTCAAAATAAGGAAAAAATGCGGACGGGAGTATTTGGACTAATTTTCCGCATTCATTCCAGATTTTCTCCGTATTCAAATTTCCAGATTTTCTCCGTATTCAAAATATGGAGAAAATGTGGATGGGAGTATTTGGACTCTTTTTCCGTATTCTCTCCAGATTTCCGCATTTCCATATATACAAAATATGGAGGTATTTACTTGGTTGATAAAATGCGGAAATACGGAAATCTGGAGAAAATACGGAGTTAATCACATGGTTATAAAATGGCTAATAAAACCGCTACATGATGCATACATATATAAATATTTACAAAACCATCAACAATGTGCAAAATTATATACAATTTATTATATCATTATGAGAAAAAAACATATAAATGAATGAACAAAATTACACATTATGTTCATGATCAATGTATTGGATCTTATATCTTTGACAAACAAATAGGAGCATGTATGCAAAAAAAAATGGATCTCTTATTTAAGCCACAAGTTCATCATAGAAAAAATGTGGCATTTTTTAATATTCATATTAAATAAATGGAAATTTATTCATTCTATTTAAGCAAAAGTGGGAGTGAAATGTTCAACACTATTAGGTATTGGGGAAAAAATAACAATTGACATAGCATTGAATATTTACAAAACAAGAAAAAACTTTACACATTTTTTATCAATCTGGATCACATTTGCCATTTTCTACCTGCATCCCTGATTCATATTTCTCACAATTCAATTTATATGTCAGGTCTGTGCTTTACACCCATCTGTCCAATAAAAATTTTCTTCAGACTTCTTTGTAATTTGTAAGGTCTCTGCATGTTTAATTTCTTGCAGCAGCACTTGCAGTCGAATTGTCAAATCCTATCAATTAAAAAAAAAGTTCTTAAATTATAATGGTGCAATATTAATAATATTTAAATTCATTGCTTTTATTCCTTTTAAGATCTTTTTATAAACACAAGTTTGGGTTCTTCAATTTAATATCAATTTGTTTAAAATATTATTTATAATAATGACAACTTCATAGTTGACTGTTTTTAATTAAACAAGCAATAAAAAAAGAAATAAAAGAATATATATACCTCAAACATAACCATCCATGGACCAAGCTTTAAGCCCGTTAAAATCGCAGTAAGTTGAATAAGCACTTATTCTTTTTCAGAAATCTCCTCCTCATGCACAGACGCTACCAAAAAAAAATGTATGGTAAATCATTGCTCGAGATTACAGCCCATGGCTCACCAAAATTAACACCTTTAATTGTGGTTAACCATAATAAAATTCTATGAGCTGATTGAAAGATTTGAATCATGGGCATATTGGCTGAAACGTACATAGCCTGGTAGCTCAGTCCTAGGCCTAGAGTATTTATTTTCATCATCACAGTGACACACATGTTAAAAAAAATATGACTGACCTACCGCATATGAAATACGTGTATCTGCATCTTTTGGTTGATACAGCAATACGATCTCAGGCTGTCTGGTCAACAAACTTCTTCCTTTAGACAGAGCAGACGTTGCAACATGGAGGCCAAGGTTAAATTTTGGCGGTCTGTTGTTTAAATTAATTGATCACTGAGCCCGACTTTTTGAAACATTCTTCCGATCCCGATCAAATTGTACATAACATTCAGGAGAAACAGAGAACTGCTGTTAACTCCAAGACAGTTTTTATGCACCCAAATTTTTTGGGGGCGCATATTGTTTTTGTCCTGTTTGTCTGTTTAGCTGTATGTCTGTCTGTTTGTTTGTCTGTTGTCAACTTTAACCTTCGCCATAACTTTTGAACCATGAGACTTAGAGACTTCATATTTGGTATGGATACTCCACTACAAAAACACTTTCAACTGACACCAAGGTCAATGACCTTATGACCTTGATTGTGACCTTTATGCTAAAAATAGCTTTTTCGAACTTTCGCCATAACTTCTGAACCGTGAGAGATAGAGACTTCATATTTGGTATGCATACTCCACTAATTAGGCACTTTCAACTGACACCAAGGTCAATGACCTTGTGACCATGACTGTGACCTTTATGCTTAAAATAGCTTTTTGGAACTTTTGCCATAACTTCTGAACGGTGAGAGATAGAGACTTCATATTTGGTATGCATACTCCACTAATTAGGCACTTTCAACTGACACCAAGGTCTGTGACCTTGACTGTGACCTATATGCTAAAAATAGCTTTTTCGAACTTTCGCCATAACTTTAAAACCGTGAGAGATAGAGACTTCATATTTGGTATGCATACTCTACTAATTAGGCACCTTCAACTGACACCAAGATCAATGACCTTGTGACCTTGACTGTGACCTATGTGCTAAATATAGCTTTTTTCGAATTTTCGCCATAACTTTTGAACCATAGATGATAGAGACTTAATATTTGGTATGCATACTACACTAATAAAGTGCTTTCAAATAACACCAAGAACAATGATTGTGTGACCTTGACCGAGACCCATTTGCTAAAAATTGCTTTTTAGAACTTAATGTTGCCGCCAGGTGCTACTGTGTCTCACAAACACATCTTGTTCTTGATGAAAAAATTCTAAGTCCAGAGCTCCGTATATTTTCCGGATGAAAAATATTCTAAGTTAAGAGTTCAATATTTTTCCAGATGAAAAACAGACTAAGTCCAATTCTCCGTATTATTTCCGTTTATTTTCCGGATTATTTCCGTATATTTTCTGCTTTTCCGTATTGTTAATTTTCTCCGTATTTTTTTCCACATTTTTTCCATATTAAAATGAGGAAAAAATGCGGAATAATGCGGAAATCTGGAGATCTGAGGTGCGGGTTGTGAAATTTATACAGTGACTGTCGTGACATGCAAATAGAAGTTGGTTTACAGTATCTAACAACAGGAAAACACTGTGTACAGTCAGTAGTATTTACAGTACACAAACCTGGAAGTGCTTAGATCAACTCCCGGCTGTTTTGGATCTTTCTGTTTCAGTAATTCAGCATGTTTCCTGGTTATTGCTTTACCCAGGCCTACAATACAGAATCTACCATGGGAATACCCAGACTCTTGTTGGGTCTGATCACAGAACTAAACAGAGAATTGGAAATTATCTATCAAAATCTAAACCAATAGTGAAATCTTCTCTGAATTTAGAATAGAGAAATAAACATGGACAGTTTATGAACCAATTTTACTGTCAGAAATGAAGTTCAGAGCTTACTTACCCTGCTCTGGACCTGTTTATTTTCATTATGTAATCTTTCAAGGCCTGAAAACAAATGCAACTCAGCATCAGAAACTGATGATGATCAAGTCACTGTGGTTTTTAGAATATGAGCCTTAATTAATATGTCATACATGTATGAAAGACAATAATTATAAATACATTGTACTTACAAGAAGTTTATCTTCATGTGATTCATCCATACCAAAGGGAGACAACTTTTTTAAAAACCTACAAAATGATTTTCCACCAGTAAAAAACTAAGAAACATAAACCTTCATTAAGATGTCATTCCTTAATTAGTTAAATTAATATAGCTGGGGGATCCATGATAACTTCGCGCTATATTCGTGGATTCGCAATATCGGTCTTCGTACTAATCGAGTTTTACTGTATTCATAAATTAGCACATTATCCTCTCCCGCACCTCAGATCTCCAGATTTCCGCATTTTTTCCTCATTTTAATATGGAAAAAATGTGGAAAAAAATACGGAGAGAATTAACAATACGGAAAAGCAGAAAATATACGGAAATAATCCGGAAAATAAACGGAAATAATACGGAGAATTGGACTTAGTCTATTTTTCATCTGGAAAAATATTGAACTCTTAACTTAGAATATTTTTCATCCGGAAAAAATACGGAGCTCTGGACTTAGAATTTTTTCATCAAGAACAAGATGTGTTTGTGAGACACAGTAGCACCTGGCGGCAACATTAAGTTCTAAAAAGCAATTTTTAGCAAATGGGTCTCAGTCAAGGTCACACAATCATTGTTCTTGGTGTCATTTGAAAGCACTTTATTAGTGTAGTATGCATACCAAATATTAAGTCTCTATCATCTATGGTTCAAAAGTTATGGCGAAAATTCGAAAAAAGCTATATTTAGCACATAGGTCACAGTCAAGGTCACATGGTCATTGATCTTGGTGTCAGTTGAAGGTGCCTAATTAGTGGAGTATGCATACCAAATATGAAGTCTCTATCTCTCACGGTTTTAAAGTTATGGCGAAAGTTCGAAAAAGCTATTTTTAGCATATAGGTCACAGTCAAGGTCACTGACCTTGGTGTCAGTTGAAAGTGCCTAATTAGTGGAGTATGCATACCAAATATGAAGTCTCTATCTCTCACGGTTCAGAAGTTATGGCGAAAGTTCGAAAAAGCTATTTTTAGCATAAAGGTCACAGTCATGGTCACAAGGTCATTGACCTTGGTGTCAGTTGAAAGTGCCTAATTAGTGGAGTATGCATACCAAATATGAAGTCTCTATCTCTCACGGTTCAGAAGTTATGGCGAAAGTTCGAAAAAGCTATTTTTAGCATAAAGGTCACAATCAAGGTCATAAGGTCATTGACCTTGGTGTCAGTTGAAAGTGTTTTTGTAGTGGAGTATCCATACCAAATATGAAGTCTCTAAGTCTCACGGTTCAAAAGTTATGGCGAAGGTTAAAGTTGACAACAGACAAACAAACAGACAGACATACAGCTAAACAGACAGACAGGACAAAAACAATATGCGCCCCGAAAAAATTTGGGTGCATAAAAACTGTCTTGGAGTTAACAGCAGTTCTCTGTTTCTCCTGAATGTTATGTACAATTTGATCGGGATCGGAAGAATGTTTCAAAAAGTCGGGCTCAGTGATCAATTAATTTAAACAACAGACCGCCAAAATTTAACCTTGGCCTCCATGTTGCAACGTCTGCTCTGTCTAAAGGAAGAAGTTTGTTGACCAGACAGCCTGAGATCGTATTGCTGTATCAACCAAAAGATGCAGATACACGTATTTCATATGCGGTAGGTGAGTCATATTTTTTTAACATGTGTGTCACTGTGATGATGAAAATAAATACTCTAGGCCTAGGACTGAGCTACCAGGCTACGTACGTTTCAGCCAATATGCCCATGATTCAAATCTTTCAATCAGCTCATAGAATTTTATTATGGTTAACCACAATTAAAGGTGTTAATTTTGGGGAGCCATGGGCTGTAATCTCTAGCAATGATTTACCATACATTTTTTTTTTTTTTGGTAGCGTCTGTGCATGAGGAGGAGATTTCTGAAAAAGAATATAAGTGCTTATTCAACTTACGGCGATTTTAACGGGCTTAAAGCTTGGTCCATGGATGGTTATGTTTGAGGTATATATATTCTTTTTTTTTTCTTTTTTTATTGCTTGTTTAATTAAAAACAGTCAACTTTGATTGTCATTATTATAAATAATATTTTAAACAAATTGATATTAAATTGAAGAACCCAAACTTGTGTTTATAAAAAGATTTTAAAATGAATAAAAGCAATGAATTTAAATTTTATTAATATTGCACCATTATAATTTAAGTACTTTTTTTTTAATTGATAGGATTTGCCAATTCGACCGCAAGTGCTGCTGCAAGAAATTAAACATGCAGAGACCTTACAAATTACAAAGAAGTCTGAAGAAAATTTTTATTGGACAGATGGGTGTAAAGCACAGACCTGAGATATAAATTGAATTGTGAAAAATATGAATCAGGGATGCAGGTAGAAAATGGCAAATGTGATCCAGATTGATAAAAAATGTCTAAAATTTTTTCTTGTTTTGTAAATATTCAATGCTATGTCAATTGTTATTTTTTCCCCAATACCTTATAGTGTTGAACATTTCACTCCCACTTTTGCTTAAATAGAATGAATAAATTTCCATTTATTTAATATGAATATTAAAAAATGCCACATTTTTTCCATGATGAACTTGTGGCTTAAATAAGAGTTCCAGTTTTTTTTCCATACATGCTCCTATTTGTTTGTCAAAGATATAAGATCCAATACATTGCTCATGAACATAATGTGTAATCTTGTTCATTCATTTATATGTTTTTTTCTCATAATGATATAATAAATTGTATATAATTTTGCACATTGTTGATGGTTTTGTAAATATTTATGTATGTATGCATCATGTAGCGGTTTTATTAGCCATTTTATAACCATGTGATTAACTCCGTATTTTCTCCAGATTTCCGTATTTCCGCATTTTATCAACCAAGTAAATACCTCCATATTTTGTATATATGGAAATGCGGAAATCTGGAGAGAATACGGAAAAAGAGTCCAAATACTCCCATCCACATTTTCTCCATATTTTGAATACGGAGAAAATCTGGAAATTTGAATCTACGAAAATCTGGAATGAATGCGGAAAATTAGTCCAAATACTCCCGTCCGCATTTTTTCCTTATTTTGAATAAGGAAAAAATGTGGAGATCTGAGGTGCGGGCTGTTCCAAAGTCTCTAAAATATGATGCCTGCTATTCTAAATACCGTATACAGGGAAATTTTTGCCCCTTCCACCTACCTTCATATGGGCAAAATCAAAGATTTCATTTTAATTTCTTAAACAAAGCTATAACTGGATGAATTCAAATTGGGGAAAAATTGTTTGCAACTGTGAAAGGGCGAAAATAACACTTGGTGAAAATAACCCTGTATACAGTACACATACAGTACATCACTGATCTGAGAAAGGTTTCTTAATTTCACATAGGGCTTTATAGTTTTAATTATTATTTAACAAAACCTGAGTTATCTTCCCTTGTCACTGAGGAAAGTAATCATGTGAGACATCATTGGCTGAAAATTAAATACAGAAATTAACATTTCTAAAAATTCAAATCAACCATCCTAAACTACATTTACTCTATATCAGGCTAGAGAATGAGATAAAACTTCAAACAAATACCACAACTCAAACATGTTTTAACTTTACATCCGTACATCAGATTGAAGAATTAAATCTTGTTGAGAAAAGTATTTTTCAATGCCTGGTTTTGGTAAAGTGAGTGTTTTTCTGCCTGCCAAAGAAGACACACAGCTTTGTGATTCCTTTCTCCAGTAGGGTCTGTTTAACACTGTTGTCTGGGTCACTCAGCAGGGTCAGGACCTTCTGTTGTCTGGGTCACTCAACAGGGTCATGACCTTCTGTTGTCTGGGTCACTCAGCAGGGTCACGAGCTTCTGTTGTCTGGAAATTGTATCTACAATACCTGAAGATGCTTCCCTTTGAGATTCATCTCTCCTTGCACAGTGGTTCTTGAGAAGAAGATGTTTAAAGATTTTTCTTATATATTTCTATGTAAAACTTTGATTGGCCATTGTGGGGGGGGGCATCTGCTGGAAGTTGCTAAACACTATCATTTGCCCTCATTCTGCCTCTTCTCAGTTAGAACAACTACAGGACTGCTCAGCTGAAAAAATTTTTCTATTTCTTATAAACTTTGAATTAGCTTAGAATCTATTTATCATGTTAATTAAATTCAAGTTTACTTTTAGAGGATACATGTAAAGTCAGTATAAAATACAAGTAAAGCTAATCTAAAGTTGGTGGTGTGTGTTTGATGAAATCTCTTGATTCTTGCTCTCAATTAAACTAATAACTTGTCTGCATGACACAGTGGTTAGAGAGTCTGCTCTAGAGTCACAGGGTAACGAAGGAGTTGATCCTTAATTTAAATTGCAGGTTCAATTCCCAATGTGGGACATGAGTCACATGTAGACCAGTCCCTATGATAAGACAATGAAATGTAAACCAAGGACCCGTGTAGCAGTAGACAGCTGGCACAAAAGAGATCCCTTGCTGCTTGATTACCTTGAGTGTTGAGCATAAGTAAAAATTTGCAGCCCAATCAGCAATTGGATAAACTTCAATTTTTTAAACCAAACAAGCTTCTAGGGACTTCCCACCATCCCTAGGCCATAAGGCCTAAAATAAAATTAAGTTTGTTTGCAGTTGCCTACCGACCCACTGAAAATGCACCCGACCCAAACTTTTTATTAGCCATTTGGTAATTTAATTTCATTTCGTTTTCAAATTTTGACACGTTTTTTATGAATCAGTGGTTTATAACAAGAAGTGAGCCTATTCATGTCTAGTAGGTGTATGAAAACCTCTTTTATTTGTTATCTGGCAAAAATCTGATTTTTTTTTTCAAAAAAAAAAGAAAAGAATGCCTACCCACTGACTCAGTCTAAAAATAATAGGTTGGCAACTGCAAAAAAAAGAATTTTTTAAGCTTGGCCTAGTGCACTGCCCTGTATGGACCTGCTGGGCCATACTTTGGGCACTGCTCTATATGGACCTGCTGGGCCCATACTCTGGGTACTGCTCTATATCGACCTGCTGGGCCCATACTCTGGACACTGCCTGTATGTACCTGCTGGGCCGATAGTCTGGACACTGCCTTGTATGCACCTGCTGGGCCCATACTCTGGACACTGCCCTGTATGGACCTGCTGGGCCCATACTCTGGACACTGCTCTATATGGACCTGCTGGGCCCATACTCTGGACACTGCCTGTATGTACCTGCTGGGCCCATACTCTGGGCACTGCCTTGTATGTACCTGCTGGGCCCATACTCTGGACACTGCCGTGTACGTACCTGCTGGGCCCATACTCTGGACACTGTCCTGTATGACAGGCCCATACTCTGGACACTGCCCTGTATGTACCTGCTGTGGCCATACTCTGGACACTGCTCTATATGGACCTGCTGGGCCCATACTCTGGACACTACCCTTTATGTACCTGCTGGGCTTATTTTATTTCAGCATTTGTATGTAAAATTCAAATCATAATAAAACCTTGGTTATCGAAGGTATGTATTGTAATATTTGCTTCCCTAACGTAAGTATGGTAATAATATTTGAGGGAAAACATGCCTATAGCAAACTCGCTATATATTGTTATATGAATTTCTTATACGGATATAACAAATTAAAAATACAGCAAATTAAATTCACAGGTCCCTGGCAGGACTTCGCTATAACCGAGTTTTACTGTATATAGCTATTAAATTAAATTCAGTTATAAAAGAAGTGGAGAAACTGTATGACTGGACAAGGAATTGAACCCAGGATCTCAGTATCACTTGTCAGGTGCTCTACCAGTATTCAGGTTGATAGCCATTACACAGTACCTATCTGCTTATATGCGTATTAATCTATATCTCATTCACGTTGCACTTGTACAGTGTATTATTTCTGTCCAGAATAAGTCTATGATTGTCAAAAATTTGCACAAATAGAACAATAAAAAAGCGGTCAGTTTTCTAAATAAAATTAAAAAGGGTAACTGATTCTTCATGTTCTTGCATCTTTTTCTGTCAATCTTTACACATATTTTTTTCAAACACTTTGCTTTTAGGCTTTTAGGATAACAGAAAACAGAACATTATGGATATAGATTACCTACTTTTTCGTGTCACTGCTATTAGAAGTGTTTGTCTAATATTATGGGCCCAGTGTACAACTGCCGATTGGCTACTTTGAGGTTTTTTGATTTGACGCCAATATGAAACTAATATTTTTTCAATCTTGAACCCGATGCAAATTTGACATAAAAAGTGAATACAGCACATGAACAGGTTTTTTAAATTCAAATGAGACAATTTGAAAAGAAGATGATCTTGTGAAACATTGTTTCAGTTGATAAAAGATTTACATAGACCAAGATGAAAGTTGTCAAATATATTTCAAACTCTAGTAAGATCAAGAAGTAGAATAAAAGCATGATAAAATTATTGCCCCCCCCTCCTTTACCAGTCAAAAGTTATGCCGATCAGGGTTTTCAGTTTTTCATAACTTAGTAGATCACTCCAAGTTCTTAATGTAATTTAAAAATTATTGGTACCAAAGGAAAGTTTTTCTCAAAAGGAATACACATGATTTATGGGAAAGCTTAACACCTCACGTTACTTATCTTTTTCTTTTAATAAAAAATATACCCCCTACCTAATAATTAAAATAAAAATAAATAACGTTAATTGCATGTGTGTGAAAGTATCAATTAAATGTTCTATAGAGCAATTTATGTTATGTAATAGCATAAAGTTATAGATAAGATGTAGCTGCAGATCTGTAGTGTTATGGTTTTAAATATTTGTCTTTGACCATAACGCTACAGATCCTGTAATGCAAAAAAGGTGCATGCAATTTATGGCTCAATATTTTTTGCGCGCTTTTGGGGGAATTTCTCCACTTTCAACCAACTTTCACTCCCTAATTCTAGACACATTCTGTAGCCAATATGTATATTTTATACACCTCCCAACCCTTTATACTCGTCTTTACAAGTGATAAACTCGCTTAAATTAAAATTATTTGTTATATTGCTGAAAATTGACTTCAAGCGAGTTTATTGCCTGAAGAGACAACTATAAATGGTTGAAAGGTGGATATAAAAAGACAAATATATAAACCATAACGCTACAGATCTGTAGCTAGATAAGATGTTGACCATTCGTGCAATTAAAAGAAAATGTCTGCTTTCAGAGTTTATTTTATCGCAATTTTCGCATATCCTTAATTGTACAGGGGCGTAGCAGCGGAGGGGGGGGGGGGGGGGTGCCCCCCCCCCCACTTTTTTTCCCACTCTTACTGTTACTATAGGAAATGTTAATTGAAAACCTAGTTGTTGCCCCCCCCCCCCCCTAAATTTTAGACTTTTTAAGTGATGTACCGAAAATGAAGTATTAGAATTGGTACTGAAGTAGTTGACACTGAGAAAAAATTCACCTACCCCCCCCCCCTTCCCCTCCCCGCGAAATAGGATTTCTGACTTTGGGCAAACTTTTTTTTTTTTACTTGTCAACTTTTTCAGGTAAGTAAAAAAATTTTTCTCAGGCTGCCCCCCCTTTCAAAAACGATGCTACGCCACTGTTGCATGAAGTCACCCGTCGTTAAAACTTAGAAAAACTGATCTGAAAATGCCAGGTATACGTGTATAGTTCATATTATAATAAACGTCTACAAAATTAAGGGAGAAAATATTTCAAAGACTTTTCGTATAGACAAAAATATGATGGATATATACAAAGCCATCTTCGCTAGCCAAGGGTTTCCGATCCAAAATCTACTCTACAACCCTAGGGTTGTAGAGTAGATTTCGGATCGTAAACCCTTGGCTAGCGAAGATGATACAAAGCTGGAGATAAAAGATAGACAGGGTGACTCTAAAGTTCATTTTCATGGGTTTAATGACCATATACGGTAGCTATTGTTAATAACACCGCTTAATTTTAATCTATTTTAATTTAAACGTACTCTCTACACAGGTTGATATTTAGATAGCTGAGGTATTTAAATCACGTGACCTGGTAACAGGTTAACATCTAGAAAGAAGACAAGGAAGTAAATTGTGATGTACAGTATTATCAGGGAGGCCATGTTGGATTTAGAGGTGAGGCTAGATTATATTTAGAAAATTTAACATGTTTAACTTGCTGAAAAACATTTCCAGATATCATTATTGATCTCAAGTCTAGTACACGTATAATACATTAGATAAATTGCATGAGATCATATTAACTACATGATCTGTTTTGACTGTTATCTAACATTTTTTTCTGATTTTTTTTAATCAAACATAAGAAAAGTTTACATGCCAAATTAAAACTACAAATAGATCCTTCCTGTTATTTCTAAACCGACACTGTCCTACAATTTCTCTAACAAAACATAACTCTTATATTATATTTATTTTAAAATTGCATAACATTTCTGTAGTCAGTGACCCATGCCTCCATTTACTTTATACAGGCCTTGGGTCATCTAATTTTTTAAAACCAAAACCCCAATGATGGACCCCCTGGACAGAGCTCAAGTACTCCTCCTCTGTGACCTGTGTCAAAGAGCTGCATTACAGAGTCACTGTGAACTTTGTCAGATTAACCTGTGTAAGGCCTGTGTAGGGGAGCATCTCTCTGATTCATCCATAAGGCACAACGTTGTACCATACAAACACAGAACCTCTACTCCTAACGTGAACTACCCCGAATGTCCAAGCCACACCCAGAAACATTGTGAACTTTACTGTGAGAAATGTGACATTCCTGTCTGTTCTACCTGCATCTCCTCTAATAAACATAGTGAGCATAAATTAAAAGATGTCTTACAGAATCCCAGCTTTATTAAAGAAATTTTCGACAAGGATTTGAAAGAACTAGAAAAAATAGTATATCCTACATATGAAGAAATTGCATTAGATTTAAACTCTGAAAAACTTAATTTGGAAAAACATTATGAGAAACTGACAACAGCTGTCACCAAACAAGGAGAAGACTGGCACAGAGAAATTAACATCATTGTCAACAAACAAAAATCTGAAATCAATGACATGAAAACTAAACACTTGGCTGCTCTTAATAAACAGGAAAATGAAATCAAACAGACCACTTCTGATGTTAAACAGCTCCCAAGTGAAAAAAATCCTCAAACAAATCACTTTAAGAAATCACTTATGAATCAGTGATTTGAAGATGATTTGTAAGTGATGCAAATTCCCATGCAAATGAGCTAACAAATCACTCCTAACAAATTGTAAGCAAATCACCCTGAAATCACAACAAAATCACTTTGAATAAATTGTGTAGAAATCACTTCTGTTGAACAAATATCGCAACCAAATCACTCCAAATAAATTGCAAACAAATCATTTCAAATAAATTGCAAACAAATCACTTCAGTTTAACAAATCACTTTCAAATCACTCCAGGTGCATACACACGTGTGTGCATGATGCTCATGTAACCATCCCTCAACTATTTGAAACACACATGCATGCATATTTGTTGTATATTAACAAAAATACTTTTGGCATGAGTATTTTAAAACATAAACTTTAAGTAGGATGTGTTCTAATTAAGATGGCATCATGTATTTTAGATATACATATACATACATGACTACTTGGCTCCAAATTCAGAATATGCTATAAACATATAACTGTTGACTTTTAGAAGTTAGTAAATGTTAATTTTCTTATCTGAAATAAATATTTCTGTAGACACTTTGATAAAGCCAGTACTCTGCTGAAGCTTATAGCTTTACATAGATTTTGTTTTAAACATTAATTGCCACAAACTTTGTTGTTGGTCTTCTGAAGAACAATAAATTGCATGTAAACATATGGAATATTAACTGCATCTAAGGAGGAAATGATAGCATAAATCAGTTATACATACCTTAAAACTATATTTTGCATGGTTATGGAAAAAACATCAGTTTCAACAAAAGAAAAGAAGTATGAATCTAGAACAGCACAATCTAGCTCCTTTCATTTCAATTCAAATCTGATAAATGAAAATTGGCGGTAGAGTTTCTAATACTGACCAATCAGCAAGCCAGGCGGAAGTTGTGAAGTAAATCACTCTCAAATCACTCTGAAGAAGGACCATGAGATCAACAAATCATTTACAAATCATCTAGAAGAAAGACTAAGTTAACAAATCATCTTCAAATCACTTTGAAGAAAGACTAAGTTCCAGAAATCATTTCCAAATCACCTTGAAGAACGGCTAAGTTCAACAAATCATGAAGAAATCACTGTAACAATTTCCTAAGTTTAACAAATCACTCAGAAATTGTCTGAAATGGGAAAGAAATCACAAGCAAATCACCCTTTCATAACAAATTGTAAGGAAATCATAGTCATCATTTTGGTAGAAAGT